AAACCGTAAGCCCTAAACCCAAGCCAGACATCAAGTTCTAAATGCTAGACCTGGCATCTTTGAATTCCAGACCTTCTTCCTGACACTTGTAAGTCCAACTGGTAAACCTTGAACAACCGAAGGCCCATACCCACAAACCTCCCTACTACAAATCTGGAATCTTGAGCCATGAAACCTTGACTGACAGGCGGAGCATTGCCAAACACCCGACGGCAGCCTTAAATCCTAAACCTTAGCCCGTTGGTGTATACGAAGCAAGCATGATTCCAACTTTGCTTCGTTCAGGCTTTGCAAGTAGCATAAAAGTACACACTAGGGCCAAGATCAATAAAGTGTGCGGAATAGTGTGAGAAATACCCATCTTTAGGGTTTATCGACTACACACGGTTTTATGGCTTGTACTGTTATACTTACACCTTGTACTACCTAGAGGGTAAACGTACTACTGTAGGTAGTTGCGGTGAAAAAGTAAAACTCAAGCTTGCTGGCTCTCAAGAGGGGTGGGGATAACTTTCCCTATATAATCCAAATATACATCCAGCCTAACCCTAAGCCTTAAAACCCTAGACCCTAACCCTAAACCCTAAACACCCTAAACCTGAAATCCCGATTTGGCGGACAAGATTGCTGCGGAAGCAAGATCCATGGAATATGTAGCTCGCTTTTGGGTGAGCAGCAAGTCCTCTGGCGATGCTCAACAAGTGGAATTGTTGACCTTGGTTCCCACCGTCCGTGATGATGGGGCAACGGGCTTGTACCAAGGTACCGGCCTGGACATTGCCTACGCTGGGGATGGTCTGGTTCCTGCGTGTTGCCATCACTTGGGGAAGGGGCGGCCTATTATCCTTACTACAGATACTACAGGGACCCCCGAATGGTCCTTAAACCTTGACCCTACACCCAAAACCCAAAACCCCATACCCTAAACCCTAAGTCCCTAAACCCTAAACCCTAAATCCCTAAACCCCAAACCCAAAACCCCAAAACCCCAAACCCCCAAACCCCTGAAATCTTAGCTGGCAGGAGGATACTGAGCCTGGGAGAGCATGGCCAGCGGCGGCAGTGGGCTGGGCAGCACTGTGAGATAGATTTGGGTGGATGTCAAATTGATGGTCCCTGTTTGGGTACCTTAAATATTAGGTGCCGTATTATGATAATGATCCAAAAAAGGGACCATAATTTTGACAACCATCCATTTAGGGGGTTGCGGGTGGCTTTTTGGGTTGAGCGATTCTGGGTGTCTGGGTTCGAGCTTTTTGGGCTGTAAGGTTTGTATGAGGCTTTGTGATTTAACAAGTTCAAGGGTTTTTGGGTGAGATTCTACGGTTGAAGGGTTCGGAGCTTGGGCCTCTGAGGCGTTGCTTCGTCAGCTTGCAGGGTATCCGGGATGTTATATGCGGTTTAGGGTCTAGGGTTTAAGGTGAGGGGGGTTATGATTCATGGGGTGCCTCTTTTAAAGACCTAACTAGATATTTACTTTCCAAGGGTCTAAGGTGAGAGAGGTGATAATTTATAGGGTGCCCCTTTTAGGACTGGATAGATAAAGTAAAAGGGGCTCTCATGGCATTGATCACATGAAGCCTGAATGAAACTGAAGGGTTCTCGCTAAATTATGGTCCCCTTTGGAATGCTCCCCGCGTCCATGTCCCTAAACCCCATGTGTGGGTGTACCATAACCCCGCGCAAGAGGATTATTTCCTTGCCAATGCAACATGTAAGGTTTTAGTTTAAAAATGACATAAAAGGAGGTAAGAGCAAGAACAATAACGAATAACGAAAACGGCAAGGTCCAACACTCAGTACTATAGGCAAGGAGGACACGATGTTGCAGTTGGAGGCACTCATCTCGGGTTTAGTGTATAGGGTCTGATTTGTTGAAACATCTTCAGGGTCGAGCTGGGCTGCCTTGGGCTGGCAGGTTGTGAGAGTTTGTGTTCATGAGAGTGGGGGTTCAGGATGGGATTAACACGGTTTTAGGGGTTGAGAACTCAGGGTTTGTGAGCGCTGTGCCTTCCAGCTTCAGCCTTAAGCCATGCATGCAGCTTGGGGTTTCACATCAGCCATAATTTCAACTCCTTAGAGGGGGAACTTATAGGGGATTATGTAGGGGAGCATTATAGGGGTTATTAAGGGGGATATGTGCAGTTTGATCAACACACGCGGGCCA